ATGGGCTACGCATGGTCCGAGTCACCTTTTTTTCCCAAAAAATATTCTTTCTTGCATTTTAATACTCATTTAATGCTCCTATAAGCTGTATTTTCTTTCAATTATTTTTTCTCCAATGAGTTATTAGTAAGAGTGGATTGTGATCTGTTTTGTACCACAGGTCCGGATTACAGATGGTACTTTAACCGATGTACTACCAAGGATATCAGAGGTTGATTTGCAGAGCTCTCGTCATCGTATTTCTGTCTTCCTGTCTACACACACCACATATGAACTACTCCCCGAGTCAGGCAAGGTTTGGATGCTTTGTCATTGGCCTTCCTTTATGCATTCCACATTTGTTCGTCTATATGAATTTGATGTACTATGCATTAGGCCCATTTTTCTCTTTTTTTTAATCACATCAAGTTTACAGGTTGTTGCCTTGGATGTTGATTTACCTGTAAAGAAAGCGTTTCATATATTGCATGAGCAGGTATGTACAAAGAAAAGACGTTTGTCGTTGTCGGTTGAATCATGCTCTGCGTATTTGATTTTTGGAAGAGGAAATAAATACATTCTAGCTTGATGGCATTATTATCATTTTTAATAGGGCATTGTGGAAGTTCTAAAGTAACTCATATTAAGTTCCATGTCATAACCGGAGGATCCCCCTAGATATCTTGATGGGTCCCTTTGTTCACATGATTACACCCTTTATGTAATTGTTTCAATTGACATTTTCACATTATTTTTATAAATTCAATTCAACTAAGGAATTTATCTAAGCTTTGCTAGTTGTCAAAATTTGCACGGTAACTTGCTTTTATTTTTTTGTTTGGCATGCTTGCTTGATGCTGATAATGAGCCAGCATGTGCACCCTTCTGAGCCATTTTTTTTTTCAGGGAATCCCTTTGGCGCCTCTTTGGGACTTCAGCAATGGACGTTTTGTTGGAGTTATTAGCGCATTGGATTTTATTTTAATATTGAGAGAGGTATGTTTGAATCTGAAATGATTTTTTTTCGCTCTGGTGAGTTCTTTAAGATGCAGTTATCTCTTTGTTATTTTGAATTCTTGGATAGTAATTTGATGCCAAAAGCTCAAATATATTAGTTTGAGATTTCCAATCTCCTGTTTGTTTTTACTTTGTTCTTCAATAACGTATACATTCTTAGGAAATTGTGAATCAGACATTTGTTAAAGTTTTATCAGCTTATTTTATTGACCAAGTACTTGTTATGTAGAATTTTGCTATTAGTTTTGTGCAATGCACGTACCCGCATTTGACTATTTGAGTGATGTATGTTAATTTCTTAAAGTAGCTAACTTACCGTTTATCTTTTAGCTTGGAAACCATGGATCTAATTTGACAGAGGAAGAGCTTGAAACACATACTATAGCTGCATGGAAAGAGGGAAAAGCATATCTAAATGGACAGGTTAATGGACATGGGAGAGCAGTGCCCAGACAGTTAGTCCATGTGAGTGCTTTATGTCACTGTTTGAATTTCTGTCTTGTAAATGCAATATGGACCATTGATCAGGTGGATTTTATTTTTAACTTCAATTTGTGTCGCTAGATTCAAAATTTGACAACATAACATGGCAGGTATCTGGCAAAAGAACATAACCTGTTATACAAAAATATATGCATCTTGCATATAATATTCATAACGTTTTATCCTAGGGATTCATGCAATAAGGTTTTTATGTGTCTGCGCTTGATTTGGAATTATTTTGAAATCTTATTTAAAAGACACAAGACGGAACTTATGATTTCATGCCTTGGAGAATTGCTTCATGAGTGCACAAGCACACAGAAGCAGCCCTCCTTGTGAAGCTGTTGCAGACTCTTCTGTTGCATACAATGTGAACTCATTAATGATCATTAGAAAGGATTCAAAGGATTGTCACTATTCAAATCAGTAATAGTTTGTCTCCAAAGTTCCAAACAAGTAAAACAAATATCAAAGTTGAAACTTGAATGCTATGGTAGTATGACAGGAACAAATGGGCTGTCACACGTGCAACCACTGTCATAGTCCTCGTTAGCATAAATGCGAATGTTCATATGGAGATATAATCTGTCTTGCATGACCATATGATAGTTTTTGTATCATGATTAGGTTAATAATTTTGCTTTGACTGGTTCATTATCGATTTTTCAGGCTGGACCATATGATAATATGAAAGATGTTGTTTTGAAAATTTTGCAAAATGGTTTTGCTACGGTTCCAATTATCCATTCATCTTCAGAAGATGGCTCATTTCCACAGCTATTACATCTTGCTTCACTGTCTGGTATTTTAAAATGTAAGCTCTTTGGAAACTTCTTGTATAATACCGTAGGTTCAGTTCGTAGTTGGTACTACTACTGATAAATGTATTTGCAGGTGTTTGCAGGTACTTTAGGCATTCATCTAGCTCATTACCCATACTTCAAGCACCAATATGTGCACTTAATGTGGGTACTTGGGTTCCAGAAATTGGAGAGTCGAATCGTCGGCCATTAGCAATGTTGAGACCAAGTGCTTCGCTTAGTGCAGCACTTAACTTGCTAGTTCAAGGTTAGTCTTGTGGTTTGAACTATAGTGGGATGCCATGTCCGATAGATGGTACACACATCCATGCATTGCATTGACATCTGGCAGGCCTGCTATTTTAGGAAGTGGAGTCAAGTTATCTGAACTAATCTTGTGTTTAAGGATTTGTTACGATTAATTTTTGGGTTATACATCAACGCACAGGATGGATGACTTTATATTATAACACCAAAATTTTGGAGTGTGCAAATATTTTAGACGTATATCCCATCATGCTAACTCAAATGCATTTTTGTGTTTGCTTTGCAGCTCAAGTAAGTTCAATACCTATAGTTGATGATACTAACTCTTTACTGGATATATATTGTCGAAGGTAGTTGTAATTCTATTTGTGTATAATTACTGCTGTTGTCGTCATTGATTGAAATAAATGATCAGTTGTTTTTTATTTTAACGAACCATTACTAATATTTTTCCATTCACATTTTCTATACAGTGACATAACAGCTTTGGCTAAAGATAGAGCATATGCTCATATTAATCTCAATGAAATGAGTATTCAACGGGTAAATGATGTAATCCGTGAACATAGTTGTTTTTCGGTTTCCATACAGATATACTTGTACTTTCTTTTGTGCATCTTAAATATCTTATGGAATCACGGTTTTTCAGATGCACTAGAGACAGAATTCCAATCATTTATTTTGTGGATCGGGAGATTTAGGGGCCTTATGATTTTGAGAATTATAAGTTGTGGTTTAGTTAGGTGGCTCTTCTTTCAGTTTTAAGGATTTTTTTTTTCTTTGGACGGTCCAGGGTGTTTTTGTCTTTTGGAGAATCTTCAAGGGATGTAGTCTTAGTTCTTATCTTTGGTTTTGTAGGCATTGCAGTTGGGGCAAGACTCATTCTCTCCCTATGAACCAAGAGGTCAAAGATGTCAGATGTGTTTGCGCAGTGATTCTCTGCATAAAGTGATGGAGCGATTGGCCAATCCAGGTATATTTGCTTTATTCGCTTTCTTATAAAGAAGCGTTACAGACTTAATGTTAAGCTGCTGTTGGGTAAAGTTGCAGAGCTATGATCGTATGGAGAAACGATATGTCCAGCTAATCTTCCCGCTTAACTTCCCTCAAATCTTGGATTTCAGGTGTTAGACGACTTGTGATTGTAGAAGCTGGCAGTAAGCGGGTTGAAGGCATTGTTTCACTAAGTGACGTTTTCAAGTTCTTGCTCGGTTAGCTCCTAAAGGCAATGGATGAAAAAGTTAGAAGGGGTTTGGCTCTGTGGTCCTGGACTCCAAGCATGTGTTGAGGGGCAACATCTCCTCCAACCCCAACTGTTCATTAGAGAGAATCCAGTACCTTACACGGTGACTTGATCTCGTATCATTCAATATACAATTGGATTGGCTTCTTTGCTTTGCCTGGTTTTTTTTTTTAGGATTTTAGGCTGAAGAAAGAGGCCTGTAAATAGGAATTCATTTCCTCAGAAATTTGTCTGTCTTCCCCCTCCCTTATTATTTATACATTGTGATGCTGATGTAGATGCGATGTTACTGAATAGCGGGGTTCGTTTTAGTTTTATTTTATGTCGAAATTAGGGGGACTCAAGAGGGAACAAAATGATGGGGGGGTGGAGGAATACTGAACAATTGAAGTTATTGGGTGCTATGCTTACTTGTAGTAGGTGACATGTAATTGGCTTTTTCGGCCTCGTTGGTATCTTCGTCGTGTGGTTTGATCCTTAAACGTATTGTAAGTAGCAGCCAAATGGAGAACTCAATGAAGAGAACCATGTTACGCTGTGTATTTGTTACAACAAAATCTTTTGTAAAATTAAAATTGGATTCTCTAAATTCACCCAAAGTTTGGTGGAATTTGAATCATTTGATGCCAACTTTCTTTTAAAATAATGCGGTTCAAATTCATCTTTGGTGAAAATTAAACCTAAAACCTCTCATTTACAAGTGAGGAATAATATCATTAGACTGGTGGCAGAGTGCGACGAAATTTGAATTTCAGGAATGATTTGAGGCTAAATTGTGAGGTCCATGGGGCCAATGAATCAAGCTTACCCAGTCCCAAACATAGTCAGGGTTTACATGTTCTTTTGGAGGGTTCGACTTTTGGGGTACAATGAAAATGGAAAAGTCAGGTTTGTAGGAAATCTAAATTGTTTTTAATATTAGTTTTTCTTTTGGAATAAAGAATACGTTGAATCAGACTGAAAAAGATTAGATTAAGTATCAAATTACTTATCAAATCTAAATCTAAATTCGATTCCCCTATCCCGTAATTTAGATTAAGATCAAGACTAAGATTTTGCTCGAATCAGAGTGAAAAAAGAAAAGAAGAAATGAAGGGAGGGGTAAACCTTTGGTGGCTAACCAAGCGACATTTTTCTGTGAATAATTTGGACCACGTGCAAAAGATGAGTTTCAATTTACCCTACAGGGAGAGGAGAGTCTGGACCGGAGATGCAGCGGAAAGGAAATACCGTAAGATTTAGTTAACTTTGCCTTTCGTTTTACAATGCCAAAAGCTAAATAAAATGCAGAGATTTTGTTCAACATTTTATATCATTATATACATACAAAAATGCTTCAAGATACACCTCTACGCACATTTGATTCTGGCGATGGTTGAGAGGGGGATATATATATATATAGAGGGGCCAAAAAAGATGCACAAAATATGCAGAACACGTACATTTTGGGTGTGAAGGGGAACTATGTAGGCACCAACGCTAGTATCTGGTTCCTAATAATGCCCATGCACTTCTGTATTTCTCCGTAAACCGAAAGGTTCTGCGGACAAAGTGGCTGCAAACTAGTCACGGCTTCGTCTAATACCTGGGCGACTTCAGACGGTGGAAACTGTCGCGCTGTACATGTCTGCATTTCATGTGGCAAAAACCAAAAGCTAAGGTCATAAACAGATAAATCCCACATTGTATAATGTAAATTGTTAAATGTTAGTTATATCCACAAACAATTTGATTGCTTAAAAGCAAATGGGAAATTTTATATGCTCGAGAGAAGTGGATCAAGAAAAATCAGCAGCAACAGGAAAGTATGCAATGTATACTCAATTACCTGAATCATCAAAAACGCTGCTACACAATTTACAATAAGGTCTGTAAGGGCTTTTTCTTCATTTCGCTTCGATACGTTATTTGACTTAGGATCAGCTGAACAACTCGTTTCCATTGGTTTTGATGTACAGGCAGTTGGCTGATCTTGAGAAACCCGAACTGGATCTGCAGGGGTAGTAGAAGGTCCCAGCACGCCAGCATCATCAGAAAGCCGATTACTAACAAAGTCTATAATCTCCTCCATCCTATCAAGGTTATCTTCCTTCCTCAATGATGAAATTGCCTGAAATAGTAATTAAGATGAAATTGTTGCCAGAGTGCCAACGGACATTTACTCGCTGCAATTTAACTTCTGGTTGAATAACAGCAGCTCACTGAGAGCACCAGGACAAAGAATCAAAGAGCACCATCCATACCTGCATAGCTGCATCAACCATTTTGCGGGCTTTTGCTCTTGAACTTTCAACAATATCAAACACATGACCTGCCGATTCTTGGGCATGACAAGAATAACCAGAAGGGCTTGAATGGCCACCAGGGTCGCTTATATTTTCCATGGGCTTCACCAAGCTAACTGCGGGACTCCCTCTATATGTGTTGCGCTGTCTTAAGCAACAAAGAGCAGAAGAAACCTGCGCATGAAAGGCTATCAGCTTGCTTCATCGTTGCATTGTTGCAATCAAATACCAAATGATAAACGGAAAGGAATGAAGTTACAAATGGGACGATTGGATACTGATACCTGATCATTGACTTGACTCAACTGTAAGAGCACTGCAGCATATTCCTTTTTAAAAGACTCAGAATCCCTGATGAAGTTGTCTCCATCTCTATGGTTTTCCACCACCTCATCATTCATGTGCCTCAACTCAGATACCACAGCATCCTACAAGTTTCAAAATTATCAACTCAATTCTAAAATACCCAACATTGACAGCAGTTGAACATGTAAAGTCACTTTTCTCCAAATATAACACATTTTTCCAATGGTTAACACCTAAGATGGATATAAGATATTCAGCACCCACACCTTTTTTTGTCAAGTGCACGAGTCAACTCAAATATAGCTCGTATATATCAGCTTCCCTTGCTTGGATCTGCACAGGAAATGAAAGCTGAGAATTTGCCACTTGTGCAGCAGCAGTTTCACATGGCCCACCTTTAGCTTGTACAAAATTTGATGATTTCCCCTAGCCACACTTTCAACTTTAGATAATAGCATATAATTATTTTGCACTATAAAGTTTTCTACACATAAAGATACAGCCTTAATATAAGCTCATTGGTTTAAGCAGTCAACATACACAAATGACCAACGGTAAAAATGTCCTAAAAAGAATGAAAAAGTGCAAAGCTTGCTCTGTGTATACCAATACAACTCCAACAGGACAATAATACATGGCACTGCACAGCAATAGGATTCCAAGTAACATGAGCCGCAGACCGGTAACAATAATGGCAGATATTCTGTTTCAGCCTCAATGAAATCTAATAGATTAGCAGTGTTAGGCGGGAGTTTTCTTTTTTTTTTTTTTTTTTTAAGAGAAAGGAAATGTCAATTGAATTTCCAAGCCTAAGTTATAAGCTGTTGAAGCCCAACGGGCCAACGCCAAGGAAAGTTATTAGCTATTATAATATTTTTTACCTTCCTTTTGATTTGGGTGCCTCATTTTAAATTTTTTTTTACGTTCTTAATTTTCGATCGTAGAATCGAATAAATCGAAAAATATCAAAGAATAGAGATTAACAAGGGTGTGTAGAAAATAAAAACGATATTTTATATTAATTTATGGGAAGGGGAGAGGGAGGGTTTTAATGCAAAATGCAGTGGGTTGAAGAAAAATACTCTAACCACCAAAGCAATTCATCGCATGCAGACATATGTTGATATATAAGAATGGTTGCTTTTCTTTTTTGAAATTTTGAGTGGGAGTAGGAAAGTTACTTAATTCAAGTTTTCACATCGTATGTCGATTTCTGCCTGTTTCGCCTGCAATTTAACCCCTCAACCTCCACCCCACAGGTACTATAAGTACATGCGGCTAGACTAGAAGCCCATACAAGTAATAGTTATTAAGTAATTAGAATCAGCTTAATTATTATTTAGCGAGCTCAAGTAGAAATGGAATTAAAGTCAGTTCTACTTATGTTTGTGTTCTTGTTTATCACAACTTCATCGGCTTACACGCTACCAGTACTTGATGCACGTTCAATTCTGGCCAGCCGCTATTTGCCAGAATGCTGAGATGAAGAAATGCTACAACTCAAAACCGCCTTCCGTCGGTTCACTATACATGGGATGCGACCGGCCAATGATGCAAAGACTGCAGCCCTCGACTGCATAGGTGATGACCTTGATGTAAAAAAGGTAAAGGAATAGGGGATGACCTTGATGTAAAAAAGGTAAAGTAACTAGTAATTTGTACGTACGTAATTAGTAATTACCTCATTTACATCAAAGGTCATCCTCTGTGCAGTTAAGGGCTACACACCTAGATTCATTGGTCGGCCACATTCCATTTATAGTGAACCAAAGAGAGGTGGTTTCGAGTTATAGCATTTCTTCATCTCAACTTTTTGGAAAACAACGACTAAAAGGAGTATATTATGCATGGAGAGTGCTCTGATGATGTGTTCCAAAGACCATGTACACCAAGAAGGTAAGTACCATACATCTCCCGGACCTTCTTAAAGTACATAGCCTTTAAAAACACATCATCATAGCAATTTTCATGCTTAATATACTCCTTTTTGTTGTAAATAATGGGTATGTTTGCCCACATGTGTATAGTAATGTGTATAGTAAAGTATCACATGTGTATACTATATACTCATAAGCTAAATAGTAATGTTTTGTAATTTTCCATTGAAGTAGCTCTATAAATAGAGCACTTCAATTGTGCAAAGATGAGTGAATGAGAAGAAGAAAGAAAAGAGAAATATATCTAATAGCAATAATATACATTATTTCCTCTGCAACAGCTTGTGTCGGTATATTACTCTGCAACTGCTTCGTTCCTTCACCGAGTAAAGGTTATCTCTCTATAAATTTTGCCTATTTATAACACGTTATCAGCACGACTCTCTAATCATTTCTCATTTCCTTTTACCGAAAGAAAAAAATGTTTCCTCTAAGGTTTTTACTGTTCTTCTTCTTCCTCTCCCTCAATTGCTGGGTATACCCTCGCGAAGAACTGTTTGCACCATGTTTACTTCTAGTTCTCCAACTAACAGTCACTTATATCTTTGATTTCTTGTTTGGTGTAGATATTGACTACTAACCCACTGATTATTTATGCAATCCAAGATTGTGCGGTTCTATCGTCTATCTTGGACTGCAGATCTAATTTTACTGCAAATTTTAAGTGGAGCGGTATAATCGCCCGCTCTATCCTGCATATTTAAATTTTCCCGTTATTTAATTTTATCGCAATTTTAGGTGGTGTGAAATAATCACCCACCCTGCTTTACATATTTAATTTTATCGCAATTTTAGGTGGTGCGGTATAATCGTCCACCCTGCTTTGCATATTTAATTTTATCGCAATTTTAGGTGGTGCGGTATAATCGTCCACCTTGCTCTACATATTTAAATTTTCCTACTGTTTAAAGTAGTGCGGAATAATCACTCATCCTATACTTATTTCGATGAGAATGGTGCGGTACAATTGCCCTTCTCATTAATTGTGTAAATCTCGAGCCTGAAGTTTCGAGTACTTATCATTTTGGCCTGAAGATCAAAAATTTGTAAGAACCAGAAGTTCTAACAATATATTTCTCCAGTACACATATTATTGCAAGTTCTTACACACCTCATTTTTCTTTCAGAAAAGAAAATGGCAAACTTGGCAAAGCTTGATTTTGCTGCCCTGGACATTACTGGAAAGAATTACCTTACATGGGTACTGGATACCAAGATCCATCTGGAAGCAGCAAATCTTGGAGATACCATCAAGGAAGAAAGCAGCTCATCCTCTCAAGATCGGGCAAAGGCCATGATTTTTATTCGTCGCCATCTTGATGAGGCACTAAAGAGCGAGTACTTAACGGTTGAAGATCCGTTAGCCCTTTGGAATGCCTTGAGAAGCAGATACAATCACCAGACAACGGTGATTCTTCCAAAAGCTCGCTATGACTGGACACACCTGAGGATCCAGGATTTCAAATCAGTGGCTGAGTACAATTCGGCGTTGTTCAGAATTACCTCTCAGATGAAACTCTGTGGGGATACTATCACTGAGGAGATGTTATTGGAAAAGACTTTCAGCACATTCCACGCCTCTAACATGGTACTGCAACAACAGTATAGAGCGCGAGGCTTCACTGAATACAACCAGCTGCTTATATCTGTGCTCCTGGTAGCTGAACAGAACAATGAGCTTCTCATGAAAAACCATAATTCCCGACCTACTGGATCAACACCGTTCCCAGAAGTGAATGTTGCTTCCCTTGAAAGAAATACCATATCCTCCCGTGGCAAATAATTACACACGAGGACGTGGCCACAAGCAAGGTCGGTGGAAAGGGAAAAGCAAGAACCATGGTGTCCAGTTTCACAACCAGGTTCCAAGGTATAATCCAGGCCCGAGCTTTAAAAATATCAATCGCCAGAAAGGAAAAGCTCATGTGAACACTCCTAAAAGTCATGAAGGAGGTTGCCATAGGTGTGGTGGCAACGGACATTGGGCGCGTACTTGTCGCACCCCAAAGCATCTAGTGGAACTATATCAAGCCTCCTTCAAGGAAAAGGGTGTCGAGATCAATTTCCTTGACCAGGCTAAACCAATGGAAACCCCTGATCCAGTGACCAATTTATCAGGACAGTTAAACACAACCCACCTGGATGCTACAGACTTTTATTAATGAAGAGGGAATGAAGTTTATGGGTCCGATTGAATTATTTATGTTTAATGTACTCATGTTATTTGTACCTGTGGTTTAATGCTCGCATTTTCAATTCAATAAAAGTAGTATTCCAGTATGAATAAACTGCTTTTTCTTTACTCAGAGATCATGGATAAAAATTATGGTTGTTCTCAAAACAAGATTAATGGCGGAGACTTTTGTCTTGCAGATAGCGCAACCACGCATTCAATACTTCGAGACCGAAAGTATTTTCTCGAATTTGGGTACTTGCAAAAGTAAAGGTAACAATAATATCAGGACCATCAGATGTAATTGAAGGCTCAGGAAAAGCCCAGATTATGTTACCAAATGGAACAATATTGTCTATAAAGAATGCATTATATGCTACTCGGTCCATTCGAAATTTGTTGATTTTAAAGACATACGTCTAAATGGATACACCTTGAAACGAAAAGTGTAGAAAAATGTGGAAAATATTTATGCATTACCTCCAACGATACCCAGAAGCGTATATTGGAGAAGTTGCATGGTTTATCGAGTGGATTGTATTGTACATACATAAAGACAGTTGAGGCATATACTGTCATGAACCAGAAGTTCATTGATTCAAAGGTTATATGCTTTGGCAATGACCGTCTAGGTCATCCAGGATCTACCATGATGCGTAGAATCATTACCAACTCTAATGGACATCCATTACTGAGCAGACACATTAATGTCTCGAATGATAATCCTTGCAAGGCTTGTTCCCAAGGGAAGTTGGTAATTAGACCATCACAACTAAAGGTTGATGATGAATCCCCATCATTTTTGCAAAGAATTCAAGGGGATATTTGTTGGACCTATTCAACCACCTTGTGGACCATTTCGATATTTTTATGGTTTTGGTTGATGCATCTACCCGATGGTCACATGTTTGCCTATTGTCTACTCGAAATGTAGCTTTTACGAGACTTCTTGCTCAGATAATTAAGTTGCGAGCACAGTTCCCAGATCATCCCATTAAGTCCATTCGACTTGATAACGCTGGTGATTTAC